GAGAATTGAGCTGGATCGGAAGATTGGCATTGAAACAAACTGAAAAGGAGCTCGAGCTACTTCCACCAGAATTGCTGCCTATACTGCGCGTGAAACCGCCGTCAAAAAGAAGAATCATAGCGAGGACATAGCGTCGGCACTGAAATGCGAGGACTCAACGATAATAAATCGAGCCCTTAAGGCCTCCTGGTTCTTCGATGGCAGCTACAAGGAAATCCTCGACGTTACGTATTTCTGCAAACAACTCTTTCCATACGTTTCCTTGAACACGAGGACACGTATTATAGCTGAACTCTCGCATCGATTGTCCGGCAAGGATCCAGTTTTCGCGCATGACTTGTTCATAGATGTGGAATCTATCTACGGTCTTCAAACCGCTTACCCGTTGATCATAGCGTGTGATGAGGCTTTCGTTTATAAAACGATCGTCGAGAAAGAACTCGTACTGCCTACAGGTATTGTTAAAAAGATCTTCCGCAAGAATCCGGATTTGGTAGTGCGTTTTCTCAAATTATTAAAGCCTTGTGAATCAGACACGACTGAGCGCTCACCTTTCGCGATCGGCATTGATAGATATAAGACCTTCTTGCCTAAATTAATAAAGAAGCATTTGGACGCTTTCATAGAATTATGCGAAATACACGAAACTCATCTGCCGAATATTTCATTGAGTAAGACGTGTACCGAAATATTTCGGACAAAAGCCCTGCAACATCTGTTGGAAAAACCGCTCACGTATATTCATATGTTACCGCTCGGCCAAATCAATGATTTAATGGAGCATATATTTCCGAAGTTATTGCCCGAAAAAATGTCTTCCTTCGATACGGATAGCGCGCTCAAGTATTTGGAGCATTATCCACTCACTGAAAGGTATGACTTGCTCCGTAAGACATACAAAAACAAATACAATGCTGACCTTCTCGACCAGACGAAAAACGTGACGCCTGCCCTGTTAAGACTATTACCTACTGAAGAACGGATTAAGGAAGCTAGAATTAAAATCGAAAAGGAGAATTTAGAAAAATTTCATTTCGAAAGTAAAATCTATTATGAAGACACAACGAATTACGAAACAGCTTGGATTTGTTATTTAGCTACTGATGAAGCGATACCAGCTATAAAAGAAAAGATAAACAAAAGTTCATATGAAACAGACAGAGCTGGTCTCATTTGTCAAATGATCTACACTTGTAAGATTAATGAAGATTTTCAGGCATTGTTCGATACTTTGATGTATTTTTTAAATAGACATAGAAACGAAAGTAACTGGGTATTTCAAAAAATGTTTAGTATACTTTTACAATTATATGATGTAGCATTTCAATTTGATGAAAAGCTAATGTCCCTTACATGGGAGATTGCTCGAATACCTTATATAAAAGAAGAATATATACTTTACGATATATTCGAAGCTATCATTCATTTCAGACTTAAATTCAATAAGCCAATTGTAGAACTGCTCGATATGTTTATAAAACAAAATATATTCAACATACTCCAAAAATATCCAGTGCATGAGAGACAATGTCTCTTAACTTTCGCGGATATCATCAAAGATAAATATTCTAATGACAAAGATCTCTTATGCCAATTTGTAACATCGATTTACGATTTCAACGAGAGATGTAAAAAATCGCGCATCAATATAAAACAAATAAGAATTACAGATTATCCTTGGCTAGAAAATTTTCTTTTCGAAGAATTAACTTCTTGCAGGCAAAGTTATTGCGATGTAAAAGATATATTACAAAAATATGAACCAGAATTGTATCATAGTTGGTTCCCAGGTAGTATTGTGAATATAAAATCAGGCGAGGCGCTCAGATTATTAAAACGAGATTCACAAAAAATACTAGACATTTGGGAAAAGTACTTAGATAACTGCAGAGAAAATTGTAATTACGTAAAAGTGCAACGCTTTGTCAGGCATATGCGTTGGTATAAGGACTTACCTATTAAATTTGTCGAGAATTGCTTGTCTAATTATTCGATAAATACAAATGAAAAATCGAAAAATATTCCTATTCTGGCCATTTTACTTCATGGTGATACGGTGACAAAACTAATTGAGCCTCTTATACCCACGGAAACAACGGTTGATACTAATCATCCGGATGCCAAGGATAACTATCAACTCGTAAATTATTTACCACTGAGCATGAGACTTTCCAATCCGCCAGTCCCTCTTAACCTTGTAGCTAAACTATGCGTAGGAGATTACTTGTCAGTAGCTCTGAAGACATTAATAAATGTAAGCAGAAGAACTTGTGTGCCGGAAGTGATATCTACTGCACAGAAATTGATGAATATGCGCGTTAGTACACGGAAGCATGGAATTAGGTTGATGTACTTAGTAGCTTCAATGCGCGAGTTAAAGAGTTTTCTCCAAAACACATGGGCAACCGAAACTCATCATTCAGTACGACAAGTCCTATTCAATACAATTCAGAAATTTTTCCTTATGAATCCTAATCCCGAAACTTGGTCTCTATATTATCAAACCACGTTGACTATGAATCTCGACGACGAAGCGCTACTTTCAGAAATGAAGCTATTTTCCGACATCCCCAATGAATACATCGTCAAATATCTCAATCTATGGTTCAAAGCGATAAACAATCTTCATGAAATGGGAATGGATGTTCAAAGGACAAATAAATACATTGCCAATTGCTTGGAAACGCTTACGATATCCATTTCTAATCTACTACCCGAAGAATTCACCGAGAATATACTTCAAAAATTTTTATTTCATAGCAATACCGATGTATCCAATGCAGCGAGATGTTTTACAATATCATATATTTTTCAGAGGATAAGGATACACATACAGCACGTTTCAAAATATTCGCTGATATTTTTCACAAAGCAGTGACAACTTCTTGGAACGTTTCTCATCCTAAAAAATTACGCTTCTATCCGGTCAACAACGCTGTGCGTTTATTTATAGACGATTTCGTCAGTAATTATGTCAAATCTTGCCTCAAAAATTTCACAAACCCGAATATTATTGATAATATGCAGACGATATTTTCATCTGTTTTATCACCCGAACAAGACGCGAAGTCTTATTTGTTATTAGTATACGCGAAGAAATTTCAGGAATGCACATTAACTAAGGAATCCTTTGGCCTAAAACTCGGTCAACAGTTGCATGAATTAATCGATGTCTTTTCATTGCTGTCAGTCTCATTTATAGCCCAAGTTCTCGAATACTTTTTGGATATCGTATTCGGTAGTGTATATATCGACTTCGAAGAAGTTAAGTTTAGTGTCTTGGAAGGCCTCGTTGAGGCTGGTAACTCAAATTCCTGTTTCATGGCTGCAACAATGTTACCATGGAGGATTTTATCACAACATATAGCAAGATATGATCGACTTATCGAAAAACTTCGAGAGATGCATCATGAGCCTGCTGTCACAGCCGTTTTATACAAGCATTTAAATGAAACTGATTTGGAAATTATTGATTGAATTAAATCGAAAAGACAAAATATTACGTAACGAGTGAGTTGCACATGCGTTGTTCTACTATATTTAAAAAAAATTAATGTTATTATTTAATTAGTAATTAAATTACAAATGTATTTATATATATTAGATTATATGCGTAAGTTTTTCTTTAAAAAAAAGAATAGTTAATTTTTAATAAAACATTCACTCTCTATTTCGAGAAGTGTACATACATCTAAGATTCTTTACCGAATGTTTACAAATTTTTAAGAGAAATAGATGTATATATAAGAATTACTAATTTGATTTGAGATAGAATAAAAACAAAAAAGTACGTACGTTTTTAGATTTTTGCAAAAAAATTTATATGCAAGTAAAAATACAATGAGTTATATAATAAATATTTTTTAAGCAGTTTAATTACGTTGCACAGCGTGCGTCCATTTGTTTATTGTTTATATATTATTAATATGCATTTGATATATTACTTATTATTTTTAATGTTTTATTATTTATCATACATTTTTTAATCAATCATATAAATAATGGATGCATTCTTTGCGGTATATTGTGATTTTTTTCAATAATCCTCTAGCACTCTTCTTGAAAATACATTTAGATATTTTAAAAACTAGAAAGTAATAAACTCTAGAAAGTAATAGAAACTTTCCTATTTTAAACTACACAACTTTAAACTTTTAAACTAATTTTGAATAATTCAAATGATCCTGAATTTATGTAAATCATTTATGTGTATCATTTATGTAAATAATATTTATATTAATATTTATATTAATATTGATAATGATATCATCGAAGAGCGAGTCAAAATGTTGAATATTCATTAATCGAGAGATATAAGCGGGAAATATTGTCAAAAATCTTCTTTCATGTATTTTAGAATAGATTTTGCAGAATAAGCATTTTACGAAGCCTAATGAAGATGCGATCATCAATATTCTCGAGTGTGGATTGATAAAAAATATTTTATCTCTAAGATAAAATTATCAAGTTAATATTGTATTATGTAAAAGTACTAAAATCATATATTATTATCGATGTAAAGACGGAGGAAAAAGGGGTAGAAAATGATGAAAATATAGAGTAAAAAGAACTTGAAACGTTTATGTTTTGAATGATTTTTAAAAAAGTGCAAAAATAATTACTGCGTAGTAATTACGAAATAAAAATTTATTTTATTAGTACAAATAGAATGTTTAACACAAAACGTAACATCTAATTACTCTCATTGATTACCAATTACTAAGGACTATTTGTTATTAGAAATAAAAGAAATGATACAATTAACTATATTGCATCGCTACAACTATTAACATATACTTACGTGATGCATCGAAACCGGTGATGAAGTCAGGGCACTCTGTATAGGCTGTTGATCCCGCTGGAGTGTTGGGCCAACAGGACCATCCATCGAATGTAAGTCGACAATACGGTTCTGAAATAAGAAATTTGATTAAACGATTACAACGAAATGACATACATGATTACCTCATAAAAAGCGTTTAATAGCGTTTAACATTGCATCGAGATAAATCTTAATATATAAAAAATTACGAAGCTATATAGTGGTATCATAGAAAAAATATGATAGCGCTAGCTGTCTGTGGCAAATTAGATAAATCTTCTCGTACGATTTATGACGGTCGTAAAAAGACAACTCGTAACATGTTACTCATGATGGCTAAAGAACTGGATATATTTCAGCACAATAAAGGCAAATACGAAATATATAACAGACTCATATAATCATATAATCATATAATCTTTTTATTGAGGATAAACACAAATTTAAAACCGGTATTTTTATATGTAAATTATTACACATAAAATATAAAATTTAATCGAGCCCAAAATGATTTTGAGATTTAGTATTTTATGAGATTTAGTATTTTTGTTGCATATTTTCATATTTTATGTTTGAAATATCAAAATTAACTCATTCATATTAAATTTTAAGATATTACATTTTAATATAATTTAATTTTGTTTATTTGTTTCTTACATATCCTGATATATGTTTTATATATAAATGTAATTCATAAATGTACCAAAAATACAAGAACTTATAAAAGGTGAACTAACTTTAAAATAAATTAATGCAACATCACGTTTAAGAGATATCACCGTGGTTAGAAGTTCTTAAGAAAGTTCACATTTGTTCATAAGCTTCAAGTTTCGAAGAAACGTTGATAACATGGATTTCATCCGAGATACCTTGCGATTCTATCAACTTTTATTGAAAATAAATCACTTTCTTCCTTCCCTCCTATGACTAGGACTTGAGAAAATGGCACATACATGCGATTGTACAGAAAGAATGAAAACTGAAAAAGCCATATGGAACATTTTCCGCTCGAGTTTCACGAGTTCTGATAACCATACATTTTATAAAGTTAATGTTACGGAAATAAAACAAATTTTCCAGGATTAATGTTTGTGTCCGTTTACGTTACAAAAATTTCATTCATCTGTCTTGTAGTCACATAGATATTTATATGACTATGTAGAATGTCTCTTTGTCTTGTATAGAATGCATTGTGCATTTTCATGTGAATAACAGACATCACTTTAGATTCTGACATGAACATTCATGCCAGAATCTATTTCAAAGCATTTTAATATATATATATATTA